TTATGAATTACTTAACGTCGAGTCAAGCAAACGCACCCTTTCCGTTATTCAAGGGAAACTTTTCGTTTTCAACCGCACCGCATCAAGTAAAACAATTACAAATTATTAAACAGACATATTCAGGAGCGTAATGTGTATATATGTCATACTGGTTAGCAATAAGAAATAATTTCTTAACTTTTACAGGATAAAGTATTTAATGTTGCGCACCGTAAAAACAACTCAATTAAATATGATTTATGATTAAAGGCAATAATGAATTTTAATGCCATAGAAGAAGAGATAAGCGATTTAATTTACTGTTCATTGATTCCAATGATTTTATTCGAACCGCTTCAGCTTCTCTTCTTCATCTTACAAAACTCTAATCTAAATGAATTTTTTTTATTTTTTTTTAATTTTTTTTGCTTTTTACTTTTAATTTTATTAAAAATCGTTCAGTTTCAAAACTGGACAGTTTTGAAAGTCTTTCTATATAATCTATGGTAGTATATAACTTTAAAAGGAAGGAGATTTAACTAACACTTGCAGTATTGATAATAAATGCCATCATAAGTTTGAATAACTGAACACAAACACGCAAGCTTTTCTGCTCGTTTTATTCCAGTCAAACTTTTCAAATGCCTCGTCATATAAAGTAAATGTACTGAATGTTAAAAACAAAACTCCTCAGGCGTACAGTCGTTTTTGTTGTGTTCGCTTCGCTTCGCACGACATTCACCGCATAGCATATGGGTCTCCTTAAGGTATATAGAGATCTATAGCTGCAGGCCTTTGCAGCCTTGTTAGTATAGTAACTTAATTTTCTATGTTGAAATTAATTGCTAAAGTATAGCATTTCATATGCTTGTGCATTACTTGAAAGCGTATCTATCTATCTATCTATCGTTCTATAATTATATGTCTGGTAATTTGTTGTCATCGTGCCATATAGTTCTACATTTCTTTAACATCATTTCTCGTTTTTTTTTTTTTATTTTTTATATTCTTTTCCTTACGCAGACATGTGTACATTTGAACTAATTAAAGTTAAGTTTAACATTTACATTTACACAGGGAGTGAAACAACAAACTCATAAATGTGAGAGAGTCGTGTTCGTGTATTTAAGTTTTCTTTGCGAAGAAAGGGGAAGAAATGACGCTAAATAAAAAGTGAATAAAATGGAGTTAAATGAAAATGTTTGGAAAAGTTGTATAATTAAAATATGATAATTTTTTTTTTTTTTTGTTAAATAACTCTTACGTCTGTGACTGATATTTGAAAAGAAGTTTCTATTAAAGTTCAAGTTTTGGGTTAAAGTTGTTGATTTAAAGTAAGCAAGTCGTCAGTAGAACATGTTGATTTTAAAAAGAAGAAAAATTGATCAAAAAGAAATTGGAAAACTTTTCTACAACTGAACTTCTTTCAAAAATGAATATATATATAAATATATATATATAATTCAATTTTTAATCTATTTTAAGATTTTTACATAAAGGGTAGAAAAATCATTTTCAAGACTGTGTTTTTTGCTTTGAATTTTGATTAATTTAATAATTTTCAATTTGTTGAATTTTGCACTAAAATGATAACTCCAAGGCTAAAATTTTGAAAAGGTGTGTTTGATTCTGTGGCACACCTTCTGCTTGATGCCGTATCAGTTTTATTACTATTGATTAAGTAAGAATGGTATTCTAGAAAGAATTGATGTTTACTCTTATGTACCGTATGCATTAACCACCTGCGTTAGGCTAATCCAGTGGTTAGTAGTTTTCATTCTTTTTATTCCAATACATGTGTAACAATAGTCATATGCAAAGTATTCTAAATTGACATGAAGGCATTGCCAGAGAGATATATTTGAAATTTACAATTGCCTCTACGTCTGCCACTATCCGATTAATAGGATAGATGTTTTAGTATTGCGAAGAATATTAAGTCCTTGAATTTTGTCATTGCCGAAAGAGCTTTGTGAAGTGGCGAATTGTCCTGATGAGAGATGAATTTTTCTTTGGCCAATCAAGTCCGTTTTTATGAATTTAATTTTATTCAACCGATCTAAAAGGTCTCGTGTCATTGTATTATCAGTTTACTCAGTTTAATCAAAAAAATTCCTTTCCCATCTCAAAGTACTTACGATAATCGTTTCAGACGATTTGTCCATCTTGTCTATTCAAAAACGAACTGAGTCCAGTGTGCGGATTGGTAAATCCAAGTTTTATCTATAGTTCGCAATCAATAAGTGAAATCAAAAAAATTCTGTTGAAAATGGTTTACCTGTCATTCAGAAACTCCCACCTGTTTCGAAGTAATCAATACTTATTTTATCAGTAGAATCTTATGTACGTATACGTGTGAGATCGTTGCGACTCTAGTTTGAGTTAATCGCCAGCTTTCCTTTACCTCATATTATGCGTTATCAACAATGTCTTCAGCAATGAACGAATTGAAGTTAATTTAACTTTCAGATAATTATTAAATCACAGTTTGCAATAATTATTCTTTTTTTAAGAAAACCGATCTCTGTCCGAACGAAACTATTGCACAAGTCAAGCTACGGCCGACAATTGTAAAAGTTTGATAAAAACAAAAATATCTTTTTCTAGTATGTGACAGGCTTAAATTATATTGATTGATTTTTAGTGGTCTTACCTTTACGGTGGATTTGGGGCCTTCGTCGCAGACTTACTTCCATTGGTAATCATCAAACTTTTCATAAGCTCAGTCATTCGTCTTTATAGTTCTTTATAGTTTATCGTCATCAATAGTTCGCATCATAGTAATTCTCTCTTATCAATAAAGACATCGTTGATTACAACTTTGTTGCTAAGCCTTATGTCACATCTGTTCAGTGTAAATGTGATTGGAAATACTTCATTTATATAATTATTTTCCTGAATTTTTTTCAAAATATCTACTGTGATTGGTATTTGTTTCGAAAAATTTTCAATAGCTTTCCGCTGAACCTTTTACAGAGCGAATGTTGTACTGATTGTTTATGCTAAAGTTCTTTATGCCATTCCCCACCGAAGGATAAGTAGTATATTCATTTTGTCAAAGCGTTTGCAACATCGAGAAGAAAATTTCAGAGATGCCACAAGGTATATAGAGTCTTCATCAGCCTGGAAGTCTAAGCATGTTTCAGCCTTTCTGTCTGTCCGCCTATGTAATGCCTCTCAAAAATGTATTTCGGGGCATCAAAATGAAGTTTAGCAAAAACATTGGACACTTTCGCACGCAGGTTGGTAATGAAAACGGCCTAAATCGGTCGAATAGAACACTAACAGTTCCGTGTATACTGAGAATACCTCAAGTTTGAAAAATAAAAAAAACTGTTTATTTTTGCAGATAAGAGGTCTAAACTACCTCTTGGACGCATCCGTCTGTTCATCCGTCCGCCCGTTTAGTACATATGAAAAACATTCCCCCGGTTGCACAAATGGAGATATAAAATTTATCAAACGAATATGAAAACCAGTCAAAGGCCACGTGTACAATGCAACACATTGGCTTCCGTGTCTTTTGCTCATTACCCATAAACTACAGCGCACTCACGACAAAAATTTCCATTTCTATTTGACAAATGTAGAAACAATTAGCCACGCCCTTCTAATAGAGAAACTTGGCCTTTCCTTTCATTTATCGTTTTTTTTTTTTTAGGATGACGATGATGGGGACAAAAGATTCAGTCATAGCCGAGCATAAGTTTCTTGTTTTTTTTTTTGACTTTTCTTTTTTCTACTTCATTTACATTCATCAATACTTTGCATTCACGTTAGGAACAATTCATCACTTCATTCGAAACTTCTGTATTCGTATTTTTTTTTTTTTTTTTCATTTTACCTCTTTTAATGGGCATTAAACACACTTGAAATAAAAATGTTTAAAGTTACAAGTTCCACATATAAAATCATCAAATAAAACGTTGAAAAAAGAAGGCTTAACTGTCAGTGAGCACGCATCTGCAAGAATTGTATAAATAAACTCACACTTTTTAAATTGTTACATGAAATGAAAAATAGTATGAGAAGAACATATATAGTCGTGACAGGAGAAATGCTAAAAGCTGGAAAATGTAATTGCTTATAAAATATGTAAAACCGCAACTTCGGGACATTAACGACACGTTTAGATAAGCAAAGAAAAAAAAAAAAAAAAAAATGGCGTAAAGGGAAAGGGAGAAATTCTTATATAACCTAAAGCTTATTTAGATACACATAAGTACACACATCATTGAAATATATCTATCTATGCATAATATTTATTATGTTTATGAAAAGAGCAGACAGACGTATACAATTTTAACCCTCGTACCGTTAAGGAAGTTAATCACTCATCCCCTTACTTATGTATCAATTTCAGGTACAAACTGAAGAATTATCGTCGGCATCATCACCCATCATCGTCAAAAGCTAAGCAAAGGCATTCAGTTGTCATTCACGCAACTCAGCCTGACTACACATATACATGTGCACATATATATGACTTATTGGCATTTGGCGGCAAGTGAAACGCGATGCTGAAGAGTTTGCTTACAGGGATGAAGCAAATTTTTGTGTTTCTTCCTCTCTTCACTTTTTCCTCGCCCCTTCCCCATTCATAGGAATAAACGTAAAGAAATTATGACCATTCTACCTTAAGTTTTTTTTTTCAGGCTTTCCCCTTGAAAATTTTATCAGGAAAAATCTAGGGAAAACTGAAGAGAAGAAACATGTTTGATTTCCCGGAAAACTTTTTTTTTTAATGTCTTAAGGTTTTTGTCCTTTTATTTAAGAAAAAATTTGTTTTTATAATGTGCAGCGGCATCATCTGTTTGGTAGTATTTGTAAATATTTAATGTTTAGATTGCGCGGCTCAATTGATGTCAATTTCACTAAAGTGCCGTCTAAATTTCAAGCGTAATTATCTCAAGCATCACATGAATATATTCTCACATTAGTTTACTTTCAAAACACGCCGCTTTCGTAAATATTTTTGTATGTTTTGTAATACCGCATGAAAACAGCTAAAATATACTTACATAAGCAGATATTGTGAACTCGATATCAAAGCGCCCTTAAATTTTCTTTGCTTGAATTGGCCGAGGGCTTAATCTGTAAAAATATTCAAAATGAAAGAAATATTAAAGAAAATTTTTCTTTGTAAAAATTTATTTAAAATTGCAGTTAGTTGTAGCAGGCTAAGGATTTCATGGGTTAAAATCTCGGGTTGCGGTATGATTTTCAATAAAGCGAATTAGCAAGTGCTTCAATGAAGACTTTATTTAGTCTGTAAATTTATTTGTCCGGTTAGAGTGGGAGAGTCAACGGACGAGAAAACTTCTCTCCACTTTTATACACTATGTGACAGATATAAAAAGAAAGTCAAACTAAAAGTATGTTTAACATCTTTTTTTGGTTGTTAGAAAACCCGATTATTTTGTATAAAGCAATTCGTAACGTTATAGGGAAGTAAATCGAGCACTCTTGGAAAGTCCAGTTAACAACATCCGTAAGTATGTATAGCTTATACATTTTCGTATCCACTGCCGAGGAATGGAAATAAATTCATTTTGCCAAAATGCTTGCAGTCCCCAGGAGGGGACTTGATAAAGTGTAGACATTCTTGATTAGCATCAAATTTTGAATCGGTTAAAGCCGATCTGTCTGTCTACGCATTATCTGGGGTAAACATTCTCCCCGCAGAAATGAAAAAAAATAACGGAAGCTCTTGTAAGCAAGTTGGCGTTGAAAATGGACCAATCGGTAAAAGAACAGACATAAAGTAAGAGGTAACGTGAGACCACCTGTGCTTTTAAAAACATAAAAAACAAGTGATTTTCGCTCACTGCTTGTAAACCAGACTATATACAATGACAAACATTTGCATGCATGTTGCATGGTACCTATAAAAAAAAGCAGCAAATCAGCCGGATTAATCCAACATTGGGGCCCCTTGAATTTGAACCTATTCGTCAAAAAGTCTCCAGCATACAGCAGGAAAACTCAGAGACCTTACAAATTGTATATACTCTTGACCAGTATGAAACAGTGAATTCATCTCGGTATGTCGACTGGTTCGTCTGTCCATTTCTCCCGACATAAACTCAGCACACCTTTGTTGTCAAAAGCTCATTGTTTAAATCTTGAAACAGAAAGCGATAAAAATGTTCACTCATCAATACAGAGGACGAAAATCCATTTTTTGTGTTTCTCTTTTTAGGAGAAAGGTGGTATTGACCACAGCTGAGCATAATGTCTTTATTTCTTCTTCCATCTTTACAAACAGATTACTTGAAGGGCGAAATTTTTTATTTTTCGTTGCCTTCACAGTGTCATATAGACTTGGCTCAATAATATGTAGAGAGCTGAATTGTAATAGCTTGCTTCCCTTGAGCTATAAATAGAGTGAGAGAACGATTGATAAGTGCGCAGTGTTCTGTAACAATCTATACTAAGCGCACTCTATATAAGGGAAAAGCCCTTGAAATCCATTGTGTGAAATAATTTTCACATCTTTGAAATTCGTGATTCTGTTAATGTGTAAATGAGCCGGTTGGTGATTACCTCCGCAGCTCTACGTTATGCGTCATTAAATCGTTATAATTTATTTTTTTTATTTTTTCAAATATCTTAACGTGGTACGTGAACTACATCTAAATTATTAACGTCATATCGGATTTTTTTGGATTCCTATAACGATTGGACTATGTGTTTATATATTTTCAGTTCGGTTGCAGAAAGAAAATTTCAGCCGATAGGATAAGTAAATTTTAAATAAATAAAATTAAATAAAACTAAATTAACTTTAAGCTTAAACTCCATAAGAAGAAAAATGCGTAATAGTAATCACAACAATGATAATAATAATAAAAAGCACATAATTTTAACCTTCGAGCGTTTATTTAAATATTTCATTAGCCATAATTATATTACAAACCAATATCAATACAAATTCTACATTTCTAATTTGTAAATATTTTCTTTATACAAACAAACTGATTAAAGCGGTTATATTACAGCTTAAAAGCCTAGATAGAAAATTGAACGGACTACTCCGCAGGTAATTAAAGATAAAATGAGTGAAAAGATCGTAAAGGAGTACAATGTTATGAAAACTGATTTAGAACCTTAACGTAGGCGAAGTTTAAAAGGTAAGAGGAATAAACTGAACAAAAATCAAATTACTCTGATCATTTCCCGTCTTTTAAGCAATGATGATAACCGCATCAGGATAAGTCTGTTTTCGTACGGCGGGAGAATTCTAGTGAAATCCCGAAGCAAGACATGTAAAGCAAGAAGAAGCAAATTTCTCTAAACCGGCTCTAGTTGTTCAATGTGACAAATTGCCTCGAATATTCTTTAAACTCGACGAACAAGGGTAACCTAAATAGGTTTGCAGACATCCGGGCCACTGAATCCTTTTGCCCAACTCTTAATAAAATGTAAAACGGACTTGATCTTGAAAGAAAGACTGAATTCGAAAGCTAAACCTAATTAGAATTAAACAATTGATTACGACAAGTAAAAATATTGGAAAATTACAGCTCCCATGCAAATTCCCAAAGGGACTATGTTGACCATGATTAAAGATTCACAATTAATCCTCAAATCAAAGGCTTTTGAGAAATTTGTATAAATCACATCCATCTGTTTATGATCAGCAAAGGCCCGAGAAATGGTACATGCAAGCTCCAACAAATTAGTGGATATGTTGCTCTGCCTTTAATGAAACCATGTTGACATGATGATAACACCACGCCGCAGTTATTCCCGGTATATGTCTTATAAACATTAATGAATTCCAATGATTCATGTAGAACATTGACCTATTCAATCGCCCTATAATTGTTGACGTTGTCTGTAGCACTCTTTTGGACGCTTGCACAAAAGAATAATAAAGCCGATTTCTAAAGCTTGAGGTACTCATTAAAAACTAGTGAATCGTATCATTGTATGTTGTGGCTGTGACTAAGCCTGGGTCTCGACTATTTTCAAATTTGACCTGAGACTTTCTATGCCGATTATAAGCGTTCATATAACATATCGCAGCCAAATCGCTTCACGGACACTTAAAATCGATTCGTAATTTTTCAATAGTCCAGTATATGATCAACTTCTCTCTAATGTTTCGATGAGCAAAATAATTAAGAATAACACAAGCAAGAAAGTTTTTTAAAGAATATGCGCTTACTCGACTGCTACATTTTCGAAATGAAAGGCAAGCATTTATCGCCTTTAATCTGTTATATATATTTATATCTTTATGGACGAAAAGTTGTTTAGAAAGAAGTTTACTTATCATCTTATTAAGGCGATTTTAATATAAATGAAAGTTACGTGTTAAACATTTTCATGACAAGTACAGAAATACGTGAAACATTGGGGTGACATTACACTGGTTATACAAGTGTAACACATAATTTTCGCGTTAATTGCAAATGTGTTAACATTAAAAGCGATAAAAATGAAATGATTTCTAGCGCCATAAACAATGCAATGACGATTTAATGGCAATTAATTTTATTTGATTCATTTCTCTTCTCGCTCATCTCAATTCTGTTGCTACCCATTATCTCACTCCATGCACTAGAACCATTATCATCGAAGGCGACAAACTCTTCTTGTTCTAAGAGATAATGTATTGATTTAAAAAATTCACCTCGCCCGCTATTATTAGCTATCGACAGGACGTTTTCCTTTATTCTTTTTTTAAATATTAAACAAAAAAAGAAAGAAGGACGGACGGAAGTCAATTTTCCCTATTGATTATAATCGAAATTAGAAGGTATATAGGAAATTTCGTGAAGATGTAAATAAAAAACGACTACAGAATACTCCGGACTATGTTGCCTCACGCAATTCTTCATTCATTCACGCGATAACACAGCGCGACTCATATGTTCGTTCCACATAGAAGCATAGAAGCAAACTTTTCATCAAGGGCCTAAACGTGTATGTAAGCGGCCATATTTTTCTGAGGAAAATACCCATCATAGTCCAAGATTTTGGATATGGAATTGGCAAAGAACTTAGTTTGTCTTATGTGTGGATGCTTCCTACAAGTTTTTTAATTTAAATATTTATTTTGTGACTTAGCAAGCATTAAACAAACAAGCATACTTAACAAAGACACGAGCCACAAAATATATGGACTATTTTGGTTGGCTACCTTCACATCAGTAAAAAGTTCGATTTCTTTAACATATAAAGAAAGGTTTCCAGCATTTAAATGATGTCTGGTTCTTTTAAGGTAGATGTGCGACCTTTTCTATATAGCTGGGTTCATTAAACAGACTTAAGTGATCGAAACTCAATAACACTTACATGAATTTTGTTTTGTTTACAAAAACACTCAATAGACAATTGCGTACTGATACCGCGAAAACAATTGAAGCGAAATATTTAATAGAAGGCAAAGAGATAGCTTCACACTGTTCTTGCTCTTTTTTTATATTTCTTTAATTAATTGATAGTTTGACAGTGAGCGGAAATCATAATTAATCTAAGTAACTGCTCAATCAATCAATAAATGTTAATTATATCTCAATTTCCATTTCTCTACCCATTGGTACACACTTTATGGGAGCTCCCACTGTGAAAGCATTTTAAATAGATATCTGAGTTCTTGATTTAGTGTGTGCAAGTTGGCGCAGGTCTTTAGATTAAGTTTCAAACTCGATCACGTCGTTGTCCTCGAGAGGCTTACTTCATATTGTATGTATGCTGTTAGTTAACTGTGTGGACATCTTGAGCGACATACTCGTATAGTTGTTAAACACCGAGTTTGCGTAACATGAGATAGAGGGATGATGGCGCGTATAATCGCCATAGGCAGTTAACTGGTTAATGCTTGGATATCTTTAAATTTGATCGTAAGCCAAAGGACGGTTTTATTATCAGTTTGCCGTTGATAATTGGTAAAGTAACCATCGATTGTCTTCATTAAATTAATTTAGCAACGAAGTGACATGATATATCGATTCGATTAAGATTATTGAGCACGATAGCTGCATAATATTATCTCATTCATCACAAGTCGAAGAAAGTTAAGTTTCGCAAACGACAGTCCTTACGTAAATAGACGCATCAGGAGAACACCGTTAAAATATACC